TGCCTCACCCATATTTGTCTATTGTGTGTAGCAATTTGTTTTAATATATATAGATTTGCCTTTTATGAAGTTAAAGGTGAATTACTCTACCGGTATATAAAAACAATAAAATAATAATCCTGGCGTTTGATACAGCGCCTTATCACGACCTTGAAACGTCTCAAAGCGCTTCACAGAATATACTGTAAAGTGGAGTGACTGTTGAGCACAGCAGTGGCCCACAAACAGTCGTGAAATGATCATGAAATGCCGATGGCTGTATTAGAGGTCACACAGGTTGCATGAATTTGAGCCCCTTTGATTAACATAATTTTTTAAAAAAAAAAACGAGTTAAATAAATTCACATTCAGTACACCTTCGCTCTTGTTTTGATTTCTCTGCACGACCTGGTAGGGATTAGTGAGCTCCAGCCATGACTGTCACCCTCAGCGAGTTGCCTATTTAATCACTGGAGTTGTTTATTTCCTTCCTGCCCCCTTTATCTGCTCCAGGTTTTTTCCAATAGGGAATGTTCTTCCTCACTCCCCTCCTCTGCCTCCGCTGTCAGTCACATCGCTCCCAGCGAACAAGAGCAGCCGGGGGTGAGGGTTTGACAATGTTGCTCTGCCCCCTGGCACAGAGTACAAGTGTGGCACATCTCGTGATTGATCGCACAGGGGGTGGGAGAGCGATTAGGGATTAGAGACTTTTACATTGCATCACATGGTCATTGTTAGTCGATTGGTGGATCGCTTTCCGGGGGTAATAAACCCTCCCAAAAAAAACAATCCACGACTGTTTGCGGGACAATGTTGTGCCCAGTTGGCTGTCGCGTTTCATCCACAAAATACAGTCACTACACTTTACGGTTTATCCTGTGAAGCGCTTTGAGACGCCTGAACGACGTGATAAGGCGCTATATCAAATGCAAGGATTATTGTTATTAATATTCAGTGGATGGAACTTGCACTTCTAGACGCAGACACCTTCTATATATAGAGAGAGACACAATCATAATATAAATATAATTCTTGCATTTGATATGACACCTTTCATGTCGGGAGGGCATCTCAAATCGCTTCACAGGACTTTACTGTCAAGTGCAATGATTGGGTATTTTTCGAGAAGCTAACATTTTACCATTTGCATTTGTGAAGGCCTGTGTGAAAATTTGTGAAGGTGTTGGCATTTTACACTAAACACCTCGAATATTCAAATGCCCTCCTCGCCGGAGTCCCCAGCTCCACCATCCACAAAATCCTGTTAATCCAGAACTGCACCACCCCCATACTCACTCGCACTAAACCCCACACCCCCATCGCACCCAGTTCTAGCCAAAATTCCACTGGCTCCCTATCACTGAACGGATCGATTTCAAGATCCTCACACTTGTCTTCAAATCCCTTTGTGCCCTGGCACCTCCCTACCTCTGCGACCTGCTCACTCCCCAACCCACTACTCTCTGCCTCCGCTCGACCGGCTCCAGTTCCCTGCTTTGTCCCTCATGCCTCTCCATTCCTCCATCGGTGGCCGCACTTTCAGCCGCTGCGCCACGAAACTCTGGAACTCCCTCAATGCCTCGGCCTTGCCCCCTCCCTCCTTCCCCATCTTCAGGTCTCGCCTGAAGAAGACCCTCCTCTTCGACCGTGCCTATGGTCACCTTCGTCCCCCCATCTCATCGTCGTGCTCTGCCACTGTCGAGCGCTCTGGCACCCTGCCCTGTGTGAGGGGGCACTGTGTAAATGCAAGTTGTTGTTGTTAAGACGTTTGAATGATGTGATGAGTTGCAGTATCGATTGCCAGGATTATTATTATGTCGAGTCACTGGTTACTCAAATGACAAACTTGATTGATTTTGTGGCCAGGCCAGGCCTGGGCTGTTTGCCCTTTGATGGTTTGGCCTTGAGACGGTTGCTATAAAATCTGAGGTTGTGCAGAATTTTTAAACGCAAACCGTACTGTATTAGAGACGTGGGGTGGTGGGGCGGGGAGTGGGGGTTGAAAACCCCACGATACCGTAACCCGATGTCACTGCGCCAGTGCCCTCTGAGATCTGGGGAATCGCTGCCAAGTTCGACAGAGGGGAAAAAACATTTCTGTGCTGAAGGGCATTTTGACAGAAACTTGCCGAGAGCCAAACACTGTCCTCTGTGAACCGGAACTCGAACCAGAGGCAGCACGTTTGTGCTTTGCGAATGCCGCACGTTGAAACGTCTTAACATAATCTCATCGTGCATTCTATTTCTGCCAGCCTTGCGACGCTCACAATTGGCTGCCGCATTTCACCCCCAAAACACACAGTCAATTCCCTTCACAGTGTATCCTGTGAAGCGCTTTGAGACGTCTCGAAGACGTGATAAGACGCTGTATGAAACACAAGGATTATTATGTATTCACTCAGAGCCCCCCACAAGTTCTACTGTCTGGCAAACTGTCACACTGAGAGAAAACATTTTCGATGGTTGCAGAGAACACGTTTTGTCTTTTTATATATAAAACAAAATCATTGGTTTAACCTCAAACCCTCGCTGTGTTCCGAGCTCTGCTGGTTTCATTTCAGTAGTATTTAAAGGAATATAGAAAATGGCTGATGTTATTCTGCACACAGCAAACAACAAACATCGAGATGGTTTCACCTCAGCTCTGGCTGTTTCCGATTAAACATTCAGTTCTATATTTTGTTTTCTGATGGATTTCAGAACTCTGCAGTTTCGATTCCCCACCATTCCCAGATCTGCGCCAGTTATTTAGGGATATATAGAATTGTACTGCCTCTCTCGCCCCCTTATTAACTGTGAATTAATTATAATCACAGCGAACTTGCAAGTAATGAATGAATGAATGAATGAAGCCTTTCCTCAGAATATCATTATGTATTCAGTAATTAAAACTGCTAAGGGTTTGTAGAGGACCTATGAGCTCTGTGTTATATTTACCTGCTCAGGTAAGCTATGCGGTTTTACCTGGTTCGACTCCAGCAGTTACCCCACGCGCACTCTGAGGTTCCTCCCCCCCCCCCAGCCTTGACTCTCGCCAACCTGCGCCCAATACTTTCTGGAATTATATAAGCAGGAATGCGTCCCCCTGGAGAGAGAAGAGAGAGAGCGCATTCCATTCCAACAATCTTATCTCTGGGATTCCCAGGTGCAGGTGGGACCCAGGGAAATCTCAGCTTGGTTTGGAGACTCTTAACAACAACAACAACAACAACAACTAGATTACATTTGTATCGCGTCTTTCACGTCAGGAGGACGTCTCAAGGCGCTGGAAACGCCTTGGGACGTTTAAGCAACGGTGATGGGTTTCCGCACGTGTCAGATACCCGGCTGAGCCAAAAAAAACAGAGGCCCTCCCTCTCCCCCTGGCTCGGGGTCAGACTCCCGCCACGGCCAAGCGCTCTGTGGCGCTACCCCGCATGAAGGGCGTGACATAAATGTAAGTTGTTGTTGTTGTAGTGCGTAAAGCTACACCTTGCTGCAGGGGGCAGGTGTGTTAGCTGGTGCTGTGGGCAACATGTTAAGAAACGATGTCGGTTCCACGTCAAGCTGAGAAGTTCTGGTTGTGTATAAAATGGAGTCTGGAGCAGAGTGAAGTCAACGACCTCCATCTGCCCTGAACTTCATCAATTCCGTTCTACCTGCTGCTCGGGCAAACCGAGGTTCCTGGTGCTGATGGTGGTGATGGGGGGGGGGGTGGGGGGCGGACACAACAAGAACAACAACTTAGGTTTATACAGCACCCATCACGGTGGCTCCCACCAACCAGCGCCTAACACTCTCCGGAGTTCAGGGAGCGCGGTGCGTCCTTTCGGGAGAGCGTGGGCATTCCATTGCAGACACAGGGAAATTTCCTTGCACGAGCAGCAGATCTACACCAAACTCTTATGCCTCGGTCACCTCCCCCCTCCCCCCCCCACCTCTCCACCATCAGCTCCGCCACTGTTAAGCGCTCCGAGATGCTACCCCTCGTGAAGGGCGCTATGAAAATGCAAATGTCGTTGTTGTACAGAGACTCTCGAGCCTGGTGACAGGTTTCCACGTGTGTCAGACACCCGGCCAACCAAAACAAAAGAAGGCTGAAGAGCCCTGGCTTATCTGGGGATCAGCCTCGTTGTTCTCTTGCCTTCTGCATTGCCCCCAGGGTACAGGTGACCTTCCCCCCCTCACCCCTCCCCTCGTTTCACGGGACTTGGGCTGTGTTCAGTCTCAGTACCATGTTGAGCCCAGCTGGACACAGAGTGGACGCAGGGTGTGGGAGCTTGTTCCGTTCTCCTGCGGAGACGTGTCTGACCTTGAGAAATGTGAGAGAGAGAGAAAAAAAATCTCACGACGACGATGAACAAATAGACAGAGAAGGACTGGGGCTGAGCTGAATGTCACTTAGAGGGTGAAGCTCTGCGCTCTGTTCTGTATCGCAGTCTGTGGCTCAAAGTAGCTACAACATTTAAGATCATCAAACATTGATGGTAAGTAGGGAGGAAACTAACCTCTGGGCTTTGCCTGATGGTGACTGGCAATAAACAGCTAAGATGACAGAAGAGATTGCTTATTCCTTGTTTACCCAGACACGCACAGTACAGTCCGAGAGAGCCTGGCATTGGCCCTAACACTGGCCCTGGTATCACACGCGTGTATTGGTGACCGGTTCTGCTACTATTCCCCCTCCTGGGACAAATTCCGTCCATGCTTTGCACGAGGGAGCTTTACTATGTCTCTAACCCTGACCTGGGAGTGTGGACACACAGTGTAGAGGAGCTTTACTGTGTCTCTAACCCTGACCTGGGAGTGTGGATGGACGCACAGTGTAGAGGGAGCTTTACTGCGTCTCTAACCTGTGCTGTTGCTAACCTGGTTGCGCTGGAGGAAAGACAAACAAAGAGCTGAAGTTCTCGATAACCTGACTAACTTTGTATTGGCTTTGATCAGGATCGCTTGGAAAGGAGGTACTGAATTAATCGGCTTTGGGCACCAAGAGCAGGAAACCCAGGCACCCCCCACCCCCCCACCGGCTACCCAGCCCCACCCCCACTCTCTTCCTGTCGTGCAACCTGCGAGCAGAGTCCCAAATGCCGAAGAACAGCAAAGTCACGCAGCGGGAGCACAGCAATGAGCACGTCACGGAGTCGGTGGCTGACCTCCTGGCCTGCGAGGAGCCCGTGGACTACAAGCGCAGCGCCTTGAATGTGACCGGGACCCCCGGGGGCAAGGCCAAGCTGGGGGCCGAGATCACCGAGGACGCGGAGGACCGACCGGCCTGGAACAACAAGCTCCAGTACATTCTGGCTCAGATTGGATACTCGGTGGGGCTCGGCAATGTCTGGAGGTTCCCCTACCTGTGTCAGAAGAATGGCGGAGGTAAGATTGTGCTTTGCAGGAACATCGGAGAAGGCCATTCAGCCCCTCAAGTCTGTTACGCTATTCTACTAGATCATGGCTGATCTGCACCTCAACTTCCAATTACCCGCCTTTGCCCCATATCCCTTGATACCCTGACCTTACAAACATCCATCCACCTCGGTCTTGGACCTACCTCTCGGCAATTTGTCTCCCGTGATTTTCCTTGTTTTCCCGATGCTGATTTAACATGAAAATAGATTTCTAAATATAAATGATATTTCCCTGTCTCTCTCTCTTGCTCTTGTGTGGGAACGCAGTGGTTTTTGTAATTTATTCCGCTATGGAAATTGGATGTGATTTTACATTCTGTTCAGCTTCCAGAGCTGTCTCTCAGCGGCTGTGGATTAGGTGGGGTTTAACTGTGTGACTCAGTTTCTGACGTGGGCTGTGTGTGTGTGTGACTGTCTGTGTGTGTGTGTGACTCATTCACGGCATAAATATGAATTCTAATAATCCTCGTATTTTAATGTAAGGTTTAACGTCAAAAGCTCTCAAAGCCCTTCAAAGAGAATTGCTGTCACGTGAGGAGTCTATGTGTTTGTAGGCGAGAGTGACAGCCATTTGGAGATGAGGAGAGACTTAGAGAGAGAGAGAGAGACAGAGTGAGAGAGGGACCGCCACAAAAAGAGAGCGACCATGCGAGAGGGACAGAGAAAGAGAGCATGAGAGAGGGACAGAGAGAAAAAGAGAGCGAGAAGGAGACAGACAGACATCCACATAGCTTCCTAATGAGAGAACATTCCTTCACGAAAGCACCACAGATTTGGTCACTAAATACAATTCACACCTTGATCGGTGGCGTGTTTGCGCTTATTGGTATTATTGATTTATTCCCCGTATCTATACACAATTTGGGATGTGTCACTCGAGTTGGGTAAATCACGTGCAATCACCTGCTCCATCCCCCCCGGGGTCTCAGACAGACGATAAAAGTAGGCCTTCGTGCCTGATGACCAAACATCCTTAAAAAGCAGCATTTGATTAAGACAAAGCACGCAGTCGGGGTGGGAGGCTGGCTGGTGGAATGGTTCCCTGGCGACTGTGCATGCCTGCTGCGAATATCCAGCCCAGCCATCTGAACACTGCCAATTACTGTCAGATTAATGGCTGCGCTCGCACTCGCTGAGATCTGCCGTCAAACTCTGCCATCGCTCCTTTCTGTTCATCGTCGGTGCACGTCGGGAGACACTATAAAGTCACTCGGCTCTGGTCTGGGTTTGGTACCCAGAGCATTGCATTACACATCTGGTCGCCGTGACGTAAGGGTGGCTGCCCAGGCTTTACAGGGAGAGCTCAGAGGAGAGCGACAAGGATGGTTCCCCAAGTGTTAGAGGAACAAGCAATGGTTCAGACAAGCTCGGGCTCCTTGTACGAAGCGTATGACATACTTTCCGGAATTAGGTAAGCAGGATGTGTCCCTCCAGGCAGAGAGAGAGAGAAAGAGTGTGCATTCCATTCCAGCAATCTATCTCTCTGTGTAGGTGGGATGCACGGAAATCTCAGCTTGGTTTGGATGCTCTTAAGCAAAGGTGATGGGTTTCCACATGTGTCAGACGGCAGGCAGGCAGGCAGGCAGGCAGGCAGACAGACAGACAGACAGACATCTGAGGACGCACTGAGAGAGTAGAACAAGAGACGTAGGCTTAGAGTTACAAAAGGCAATTTCAGGACAGACACCAGGAAGATTTCCCTTTACCCAGAGGGTAATTGACAACTGGAATGGTTGATGCTGTGATGGGATGGTCAGCAGGGAGAGTATTTTTGGAAGGATGAGGTCAAATGAGCCGAAGGGCCTTCTTCATCCAAACTGATCTTGTGATCTTCGTTGTGCAACAAATGAGAGGATTCAGCCTCTCAACAGTGTTTGTGTGTGTGTGTCCCACAGAACTCATTATTCAACACTGAAAAGCAGTGGAGAGAGGGTGTATCTCACTGATGATGTCCTGTGACTAAGTTCAGAGGGTCAGCCTGGCTCAGGAGCTCATGCTCTCACACTGGGGATCGTGTCCTTACTCTGCTCTGCACTCCCTCTAGGGTCTGGGTCACAGGCTGTATCTTTTGTCTCCACGTCAGGATTTTGAGCTCACAGTCCAGGCTAACACTAGAGCGCAGCGCTGGGGGAGCTTACAGTAAAGCCCTGAGAAGTGCTTTGAGATATCCTCCTGACTTACAAGATGCCGTATCGTGTCCAATGATTGATATTATTATTATTATTGATCTGGGAACGTTGTATCTCGCTCTCTTTTCCAGGCGCCTACCTGGTCCCGTACTTCATCCTGCTCCTCATCATTGGGATCCCCCTCTTCTTCCTGGAGCTGGCGGTGGGTCAGAAGATCAGGCGGGGGAGCATCGGGGTGTGGAATTACATCTGCCCCAGACTGGGGGGCATTGGCTTTGCAAGCTGCCTCGTGAGTGGGTCTTGGGGGCTGTGTGCGTGTGTGTGTAGTGGGGAGTGGGGGCATTGGAATGTAGGCAGCGGGAGTTGCTCTCTCTCTCCGGTCGAGACACACCATGGAAGAGTAGGCAGTACGGCACACGAGTTGCCCAGCCCATTTTTGGCCCAATGTCCCACACCACACTGTCCACTTTCCACTGAGTGATGAGCTCACTATCACAGTGAAGATACTAACAAAAGACCGCTTGTTTCACTCCCAATTTGGCCAAAGGGACTTTCACCGTAAATCCTCCTGAAGTGAAAGGCACTGGACCAAGTTCAAAGATCGTCAATGTTATTATTTAAAAGAAAAAAGGTTGTGTTCTCTTGCCGGCGCTGTGTTAGCTGATCTCAGCTACTTGCTCAGTCCAGCTCCTTGTCTCTGCCTCGCTCCAGGTGTGTTTCTTCGTTGGACTTTACTATAACGTTATCATTGGATGGAGCATCTTCTACTTTTTCCAGTCCTTCCAGTCGCCTCTACCGTGGAGTGTATGCCCTACAATCACTAACGGCACAGTCACAAGTTAGTCAGAGCTTTCCCCTCGCTGTCTTCTCTCTGCCTCTGTCTCTCTCTCTCTTTTGTCGATGCTATTTTCTAACTCAGTCACGAGGACAGGGGTACTTCCGTGTGTGTGTGTGAACCTCTCTCTCTCATTCCCAGTTGTGGAGCCCGAGTGCGAAAAGAGTTCAGCGACAACCTACTTCTGGTACCGCAACACACTCAACATCTCCAACTCCATCAACGAAAGCGGGGGCCTCAACTGGAAGATGACCTTGTGCTTGATGACGGCCTGGTTTATTGTGGGGCTTTGTACCGTCAAAGGCATCCAATCATCGGGAAAGGTAAAGGGCCTGAGATGGTTTTGTAATGAGTGTCTCGACTCTCGGGATCAATGGGTCCCTACGGACAAGACCTTGTTGTCAGACTCTGCCACTGTGAAGCGCTCCAGAACCCCATGTGAAAGGGTGCTATATAACTGCAAGTGGTTGTTGTCCATTCATCCTCCCATTCCCCTTGAGAAGGTAGTGTGAGGAGATCCAGGTTTGATTCCCGTTTGGGGCGAAACCTTAGGCACGTTTCCTTACTGCACACACACTCCTCACTTTACCTAGCAGTAAGTAGGAAACCGATTGTTAGTCGATTGGCCGATCACTTTCCTGGGGGAATAATGCCTTCAAAAAAATAAATACATAAAATAATAATTTAGCCACTCAATCACGGCTGTTTGTGAGCCACTTCTGTGCGCAATTGGCTGCTGCATTTCATCCACAAACTTTACAGTAACTACTCTTTACAGTATATTCTGTGAAGCGCTTTGAGACATCTCGAAGACGTGATAAGGCGCTGTATCAAATGTAAAGATTATTATTATTATAGTAAGTGCCTCGAAACCCTGAGGTTGGGACTGAGGCACTGTGTTGTGGCAGAGAGGAGAAAGCTTTATCCGTCACAAGAATCAGTCAAATAAAATCGGTTTGTTTGCACAACAAGTTCCTAAGATTCTCGTTCTGTTTCTCAGGTCATGTACTTCAGTTCCCTGTTCCCCTATGTGGTGCTGATTTGTTTCCTGATCCGCAGTCTCCTCCTCAGAGGCTCCATCGACGGAATCCTTCACATGTTCACCCCTAAGGTACCCACACCCTCCCCCCCACCCACCCCCCCCAGGGCTCGCTCTGCCTCGTTTCATTCAGTAAATATCCAATTCCCTTTTGAAAGCTATTACCGAATCTGCTTGCACCACCCTTTCAGGCCATGCGTTCCAGACCGTAACGATTTGCTGCCTAGTTGTGCCTTGGGATGTCCTCCCGACATGAAAGGCGCTGTACAAATGGAATTTGTTGTTGTTGTGTAAATAACATGTCTCCTCATCTCCCCCCTGGTGCTGTTGCCTTTCCCCAGCTGGAGAAGATGTTGGAGTCACAGGTGTGGAGAGAGGCCGCCACGCAGGTCTTTTTCGCTCTGGGCCTGGGCTTCGGTGGAGTCATCGCTTTCTCCAGTTACAACAAACAAGACAACAACTGCCACTTTGACGCTGCCCTCGTCTCCTTCATCAATTTCTTCACCTCGGTCCTCGCTACACTCGTCGTCTTCGCCGTCCTGGGCTTCAAGGCCAACGTGATGAACGAAAAGTGTGTCGTAACGTGAGTCTGTCACAACCCCCACCTCTCCTGGAGTTCTGTAGCTCAGTGGTTAAGAGCGCTCGCCTCGCAAGCCAGAGGACCCGGGTTCGATTCTCGGGTGGGGTCAGGGGGAAACGTTGCGCAAGTTTCCTTACTCCACACACACACACACACACACACACCTCTGTTTACCTCAGCTTTCTGACTCTTACATTCTCTCTCTCTGTCACTCTCTTTCTTTGTTTCTCTCTCTGTCTCGACAGGAATGCCGAAAAGATTATCGGCTTCTTGAATACTGACGTGCTGAGCCATGACCTGATCCCCCCACACATCAACTTCTCCCACCTGACGGCAGTCGACTATGCCGAAATGTACGGTGTGATAAAGACCGTCAAGGAAGATCATTTCCAAGAGCTTGGACTCGAGACTTGCCAACTCGAGGATGAGCTGAACAAGGTGAGTGAGAGAGCAAGCGAGCGAGTGAGCGAGTTTGTGAATGATCCTCGGACAAAGAGAAGGAACACAGAAGACAAAGCTGCCAGAGGTAAAGCTTGCAGCTTCTCACGCCTCGTTGATGCATAATAATCTCTTCAAAATAAATAATAATGTGGTCACTGAATCCACGACTGTTTGTGGGACGTCACTGGGCGCAATTGGCTGCTGCATTTAGCCCACAAACTCCAGTCTCTACGCTTTACAGTGTATCCTGTGAAGCGCTTTGAGACGTATTAAAGACGTGATGAGGCACTGTGACAAATGCAAGGATTAAACTTATTATTATTGTCATTATTATTGTTTAACGGACGGTTGATCTCTTGCAGTCAGTACAAGGGACGGGGCTGGCATTTATCGCCTTCACAGAAGCAATGACCCACTTCCCAGGGTCTCCGTTCTGGTCGGTCCTGTTTTTCCTGATGCTCATTAACCTGGGATTGGGCAGCATGATGGGAACCATGGAGGGCATCATGTCCCCCCTCATCGACACCTTTAAACTCCGCAAGGAGTTCTTCACAGGTAAGAAAGTCCGACACAGGAACCCTGAGTTGCTCACTCTGTCGTGCTTTGTACTCATCAACATCGCAGTCCTGTAGCTCAGCGGTTAGAGCACTCGCCTCGCAAGCGAGAAGACCTGGGTTCGATTCCTGGGCAGGGCAAAACATTGGGCTTGAAACATTGACCTTACTCCACACACACGGCTCTGCTTACCAGCAGTGAGTAGGAACCCGGTTGTTAGTCGATTGGCGGATGGCTAACGGGGGCAATAATCCCTTCAAAATAATAATAATCATTCGGTCACTCAATCTAAATGTGGGGACGCTGCTGTGCGCAATCGGCTGCCGCGTTCCGCCCACAAAACGTACAGTCAATTCACTTCACAGTGTATCCCGTGAAGCGCATTGAGATGTCTGGAAGACGTGATCAGACGCCGGATCAAATGCGAGGATGATGATTATTATTTTTTGGTATGTAATTATCGAGTTATTTTGGACGCGATCCAATCCACTCAGTCGAGAGCTGTTGCTGCCACCTAGTGATTGGGAGAGAGAAGTCGTTCCAAAATGAAGCGTCTCATCCCTGAACATTCCCATCCTGCCTCAGTCTCCTCACAGGCATCCGTGTCCTTGCCCAAGGTCACAATCAGGAGAAGATACAAGTGCTCTCTCTCTCCCTCTCTCTCTCCCTCTCCCTCTCTCTTCCTGCTCAAGCCATGAATCTTTCCTGCCTCGCCTAATACACAGCTTTTTACCGAGTGTAACCAGTTATTATTCTAATAATAATAATAATCCTTGCGTTTGGTAAAGCTCCTCATCAAGGCATTGACAACCAGTGTTGTGAGATGGTTCCCAAACACTTTTTTTTCCACTATTGCCATCTCATACTTTGACCTATTCTCTTTACGCTGCTGTTGTGCGCAATTGGCTGCCGCGATTTGCCCACAAAATACACAGTCAATTCACTTTACAGTGTATCCCGTGAAGCGCTTTGAGACGTCTCAACGACGTGATAAGGCACTGTATCAAATGCCAGGATTATTATTATTATTATGCCTAGCTCTGACTCTCTCTCTCTCGGTCCTCAGTCGGATGCTGTGTCTTCGCTTTCACCTTGGGACTCCTCTTTGTCCAGCGCTCTGGCAACTATTTTGTCACCATGTTTGACGACTATTCAGCTACTCTGCCCCTCACCATTGTGGTCATCCTGGAAAACCTCTCGGTGGCCTGGGTCTACGGCACAAAGAGGTGGGTGTCCGCGTGTCAGAGCGATTGTCTGCAGTCTGTTGGAGCGAATGTTTATTGGTGCCTCCCGTGTCTTGCTCACTAAACAACAGCAACTTGCATTTTACATAGCACCTTCGCACAGGATAGCATCTTGGAGTGCTTAATGGTGGCGTAGCCTGAACCAGAGCTAGGGGGAGAGGGAGGAGGTGATCGTAAGTACGGTCGAAGAGGAAGGTCTTCAGGCATGGTCTAAAAATGGGGAAGGAGGGGACAAGGTGGAGGGATTGAGTGAAAGGGAGAGAGTTCCAAAGTTTCGGGGCCAAGTGGCTGAAAGTACGGCCACTGATAGTGGAGCGAAGGGGACAATCAAAAGACTGGAACCAGACGAGCGGAGATTTAACTGATTAATTAGATTCATCCACGCAAACATGATGCCTGGAGTAGACTGTATTAGGGACAAGTGGCGTTGGGCTAACAAGAAGGGATGTGGCCGTGTTTTCCAGGTTTATGCAGGACTTGACGGAGATGCTGGGATTCGCTCCAAACCAATATTACTATTACATGTGGAAGTACATCTCCCCTCTGGCCATGGGGGTCCTGATGGTGGCCAGTATCATTCAGATGGCCATCAGCCCTCCTGGATACAATGCCTGGAATAAGGAGACGGTAAGGAGACCGAGATAAGGGGCTGTGTATATATATATATATTTTTGGGAGGTGTCAGCCGGGTGTCTGATACATGCGGAAGGCAACAGTATTCCTACTGTGGTTTGGGATTAATAAATAATAATCCTTGCATTTGATACAGCGCCTCACCACGTCGTTGAGATGTCTCAAAGCGCTTCACAGGATATAATGTAAAGTGTAGCTACTGTGTATTGCGTGAGCAAAACGTGAATCATTCCTTCCTTCAACTAAAGGCGCTGTTTTGCATTTAGGCCACAGAAAACTTCCAGAGTTTTCCACCCTGGGCACTGGGGATGACCATCTTCCTCATCGTGTTGGGGATCCTGCCCATACCCATCGTCTTCATCATCCGTCACTTCCACCTGGTGTCTGACGGCTCCAACACGCTGTCCGTGTCTTACAAGCGAGGCCGGATGATGAAAGACATCTCCAACCTGGAGGATCACGACGAGACGCGCTTCATCCTCAGCAAAGCCCCCAGTGAGACCCCCTCCCCCATGCCGGCCCACCGCAGCTATAACGGGCCCAACAGCACCTCGCCCATGGAAATGACGGCCACCAACGGACGCTATGGCGTCGGCTACCTCTCAGCCAGCACCCCCGAGTCAGAACTGTGAAGGGGGTGGGGGAGCGCGAGGAGAGGGGAGGGGAGAAGAGGAGAGGCAGGAGGCAGAGCAGCACAGAGTGCACTTGCGATGTGATGGTCACTGACACAGTAGAGGAGATGCAACGATTAACACAGACTCTCTTAAGGGGGGGGAATTGGGTAGACTATCGGTCGATCAATTGATCAATAAGTGACAAAGCCAATCGATCAGCCATTCAGGTCAGTGTGACGTCCGTCAGTGTGTGACTGGTGACGGGGAAAGGTAGTGAGTGAGTGAGTGAGTGAGTGGAGGGAGGGAGGGTGGGAGGGAGGGAGGGAGCGAGCGAGCGAGTGAGTGAGTGAGTGAGTGAGTGAAGGGGGTGGAGGGAGCGAGTGAGTGAGTGAAGGGGCCAGGGGGAGGGAGGACCAGTGCAGGCACTGGAATCGAGAGCGCGACCGTCAACAACAACAACTTGTATTTATATAGCACCCCTCACACAGGGCGCTTAACGAGGGTGTGACAGAGGTTGGGACCAGCGCAGACATTGACTGCCCTGAAACAGTAATGCCACCTATACCAGTGCAACCTTCACCCACCAGCACAGACACCACACACACACACACACACACACTGAGACCTATTGATGGAGCTATCAATGGACTACTGGCTTATTGGGCACTTCAAGCCAACACTGACAGGGGGCTCTGTGGCAGCCCATCGGGCTCCAACATAGGTCATGTGTGTGACCTCTGGGGCGATGCTGTGATTCCATGGGCTGTCCCCAGCTCTGCCCCAGGGCGGTCCCCAGCTCTGCCCCAGGGCGGTCCCCAGCTCTGCCCCAGGGCGGTCCCCAGCTCTGCCCCAGGGCGGTCCCCAGCTCTGCCCCAGGACTCCGGGCTCAGCCACACATCTGCTCAGAGCTCGAGGCTGGGTCCCAGTTCCTGGTCCAGGTTCAGTCCTTTTTCCACCGGTCTCACAACTGGATCTAAGCACAAAGAGCCCAGAGCCGGACTGGGTCTCTCACTCCGACTACTGGATTACGCGGATGGGTTTGAGCCAATTCCCCCCCCAGAGCTGACATGGATATTGGGAGCAGTTGCTGCCACTCACAGTATTCTTCTCACTTCTACCGTCTCCACACAAACTCCCACTGTGGTGCCCAAACATTCCCTCCATTTACATCAGTCAGGACCTGTCCTGAGGACGAGGTCTCTAATATTCCTCCGGGGGGGCGGACAAACCAACGCTGTAGCTCTGGGGCAATGGGGGGGGGTTGTGTGTTTGCTGGAAATATTAACTGGTTAATGAGCACAAGATTCACGTGGGGGGAAAAGTACAATTTTCTAACTCTTTCGCCAACCAATCAATCCCATCCCTCCAATCCATCACTGCCAAAGGGAACCTCTGATGGAGTCAGTCCTGAGGCATTGGAAGGCACAGCACAAGGTTTGGACCAAAGCTTCAACGTCTTTCACCGTTCCATTCTGTTACCCCCCGGAACCTCCACTTCTCGCCACCGCCCCCCTCAGCCTCCAGCGCCCCCCTCAGCCTTCAGCCCCCCCCCAGCCTCCAGCCCCCCCCAGCCTCCAGCCCCCCCCTCAGCCTCCAGCCCCCCCCTCAGCCTCCAGCCCCCCAGCCTCCACCCCCCCCCTCAGCCTCCAGCCCCCCCCCCAGCCTCCACCCCCCCCCAGCCTCCAGCCCCCCCCCAGCCTCCACCCCCCCCCTCAGCCTCCACCCCCCCCTCAGCCTCCACCCCCCCCCCTCAGCCTCCAGCCCCCCCTCAGCCTCCAGTCCCCCCTCAGCCTCCAGCCCCCCCTCAGCCTCCAGCCCCCCCCTCAGCCTCCAGCCCCCCCTCAGCCTCCAGCCCCCCCCTCAGCCTCCAGCCCCCCCTCAGCCTCCAGCCCCCCCCAGCCTCCAGCCCCCCCAGCCTCCAGCCCCCCCCCAGCCTCCAGCCCCCCCCCAGCCTCCAGCCCCCCCCTCAGCCTCCAGCCCCCCCCCCAGCCTCCAGCCCCCCCCAGCCTCCAGCCCCCCCCCCCCCAGCCTCCAGCCTCCCCCCTCCAGCCTCCCCCCTCAGCCTCCAGCTTCCCCCCTCTAGCCCCCCCCCCCCCAGCCCCACAGCGTCCAGCCTCCCCCCAGCCTCCACCCCCCCCCCACTCCAGGCCCCCCACTCCAGCCCCCCCCTCCAGCCCCCCCCTCCAGCCCCCCCCAGCCTCCAGCCCCCCCCCCCAGCCTCCACCCCCCCCCAGCCTCCAGCCCCCCCAGCCTCCAGCCCCACAGCCTCCACACACCCCAAACCCCGCCATTCGGTGAAACTTGACCCCTGTCTGTCTCTCATCTTCGCTCAATCAGTCAACTGACAGTGATTTGGAACCATAACGACTGCATTAAAGTTTCCAACAAACTGACGGGACGGAGGGAGTGTAATGGCAGACGGTCCGTGGCCGCTTATAGTCATCCGCGGTCCCGTGTAATCGTTGCTCCTCAGTCTACTGTTCAGAACGGGACGTGACAGTATATTTGTGGCAGTAGATACCTGTAGTCAGTCAGTCAGTAGTGTACTATTCCTGTGGTTCTCAGTACATAGGTACCGTAGTGAGTGTGTGAGTGAGTGAGTGTTTGCCTTATACACAGAGAGAGAGAGAGAGAGACATTCCAGACTGTGCCGAGTCTCCGGTAAAGCGTAACTAACGCGTAACTGAAGCGCAGCGCTCGATGGTGAAGCGCAGTGAAGCCCCAACGCTGTTTGTGCATAGACTGTGGTGATGTAGTGAGAACCCGATGTATTCAGAGGTCTATAGGCGTCAGCTTCGAAGTGTTGATTTCACACTGTTATTTACAATCCGAGAGATCAAAACGTTATTACCCCATTGCACTTTTTAACCCAGAGGTTCACCAATTGTGTCCCCACAAACGGCAGCATTGCCGCAGCCCCAAAACAGCCCCAAACAGCCCCAAACCCCAACCGATTCCGATGGCTATGACACTGTGAAATGAAGTGTCAGCACAGAGGGCTTTTGGATTTGATGGCGAACAGTAGAATTGGAGAGTGACCCCTCATCACCGCCACCAAACTCTCATGTTCAGGAGCTCAAGGAAAGCGTTTCCCTGCAGTGTTGGGTAGTCCCCACCAGGTGGGGCCGATGGGTCGCGGGTGGAGACATCTAGTGGTTGTGTAGAGCGGTGCGTGACATGAACCCTTATGTAGACGAGTGCTCCAGAGTGGGGTCGGGGGGTAAGTGACAAATTACCCCCAAATAATCCCGCATTTGATTTTAGAATATGTTTTATGATACGATATGCAATAACATTAGGGAAACCTTTACACATTAATGCGCAGAAATTGAGTTCTCAATAACTGTTTCCTGCTGTTTTGTGCTCAATCCCAATAACCCCCACACCCCCACACCGCACCCCCCACACCCCCCATGGGAACAGGGTGAACCCACAGCACTCAAATTCCACCCAGTCCTGACCTGTGAGGCCATTTCAGAATGAATTGTTCTTCAATTCCAAGTTAAGACGGGACCAAGAATCCTACACAGTTCTGCTCCATTGCCAACTTTCAGATAAAATAGTCTGACAACGGGCGGAGAGAGTGAGGTCAGTCCCTCCCCATTACCACCCGTTCACGCCCCTGACTCTGGAGAGCAGCCGCACACCATATTACCACAGGTAAGTTAATGATTGAAGCACAAACCAGAACACTCCCTCGAGGAGATGGCCCGGGGCTCGGGGAAGGTCGGCTGTGCTGAATTAGTTGGTCCCAGTCAGTGCGCAGAGGAAGAGCAATGGTAGTCTTCATTGCCCCTGGGGTTAGGGAGGGGTCCAGGTGTGTCTGGGTGTTGGTGAGGCTGGGTTGAGGGGGGGAGGTTGGTCTGTCTGACATTCACTGTGCAGAGAAAGACTGGGAGAGGTTAGCGGTAGACACTATTGTAAGTGTGTCCCCAGCACATACAAAACAACCACTTGCATTTACACAGCGCCCCTCACGCAGGATAGCGCCCCAGAGCGCTTGGCAGTGGTGGAGCACGACCCCGAGCTGAGGAGGAAGGGGATGCACAACAGAGTGGGGTGAAAGGGGAGGGGGAGCAAGAAAAATCTTTCAAAAATATATACAAAATACTTCCAAGAAAATTTGCATTCCAAATATAGGGATTCACAGAGCTGAGAGGAATACGAGTAAGTAAACGTTTTTTTTTTAAAAAAACTTATTTTTGTTTAGAATTGTTGATATATTTTATTAAGAAACATGAAGATGAAAGCAACAGAGGTGGCCCAGCCTCTCAGACTTGGTTTTCGTTGTAACGTGAGATGTTTCAGTCAGACAGTGGCACAGATCATGAGCTGAATTATTGTTTTAAACTGAAGTTGAAAGAAAATAATAATTCGGTCACTCGGTCCACGATTGTTTGTGGGGACGCTGCTGTGCGCAATTGGCTGCCTCGTTTCGTCCACAAAATATACAGTCAATTCACTTTACGATATATTCTCTAAAGCCCTTTGAGAGGTCTCGACAACGTGATAAAGCGTTGTATCGAACGCGAGGATTATTATTAAATGGTTGGCCCAGGGAGCACAGAAATAGCCCCAAAGCTGCTGGCAGTCAGATGGTTAATATTTTCTTTCCTTTGCCCCCTCCCCAAACCCCCACTTCTCCTGGGAGCAGAATTTTTCTCCTTCATCAAATTGACCCCCACCCACATGACAAGGACACAATATTGCTGCACCTCTGGTTAAGTCTAGTTAGAGCGTAAATCTTTGCAGATTTATTTTGAAAATTCTTGTGACCAGCAAACATTGCTACCTACAGTAGTTGAGCTATTTATATTGTACATTGAAACTGTATATGTCTGTGTACATTCTGTTAAATTATGAAAATTGTAAAAGTGAATATGGTGAATATTTTCATGCTTTAACTGATCCCTCACGATGCTGTATATAAACCTATATTCATGGTGTATTTAATATATTATGGTGAGATTTCTCTTGTTTCTTTGGAGTTTGTGTGGACCCTTTGGGGCAATTATTTCCAGGTCATTCTCTCCCCAGGCAGTGAGATGTTTTGAGGAGCATTGACTGCTCGGATCTCACCGCTGGGTGGAGCCGGTGGGTTGCTAAATATGCACTTCCAATGCGGGCGGGAGATATCTGGCGGTTGTACAGGACATTGCAGGACATGACCACACTGGCAAGCGTGAGAGCAAACCCATCGCTTCACACAATGTTGATCCGCTTTTCGGTGAATTTGAGGGAGGAATGTCGGCCAGGACAGCAGGAGGGAGGAAGCGCCCCCTCCCATTCGCTTCTTCCAAACCATCTTTAATCTTTAAAATGTAAACCTGATCAGGCAGACGGGACCTGGGTTTAACGTTTCAATGGAAGCTGAACGGGAGGAGGGTTTCAGGCCAGAGTTGGCTGAGGTTGGGACACGGGATAGACCGATGGGGTGGAATGAGGGTGAGGTACATACCATTTGGCTCCCATTGGGTGTCATTTGTGAGGTTATAGATTTATGCCATAAGAAACATTGAATCAAGAAACATTTATTTTGTTGGCCAACCAAAGAGCTTGGTCACCACTGACGTAGACTAATGATTGCTGGTATGACATTCAAAATGGGATCAGATCAATGGGCCGAAAGGCCAACTCCTTCCAAATGTCTCCTGTGACCTCTTGTGATGAGCCTCCATCCAGTTCAACCTGTTAGTTGCTCATCAGTTGCCATGGCTACCCTGAGGGACGTACAGCCCGGCTCTGTTCTACCATCTGGTCATTAATTAGCAGCGGAAAAATCCACGGCACCAGACAAACAGCCAAGTTACCCAATCCCGTCCCATCTCATCGTCCAGTTAGAATTCACGTCTCCGTCCCTCTCTCGATCCCTCCTTACATCTGTGACTCTGTGTATAGTCTCTTCCTGGCACACAAACCTGTTTAACCCTTTGATGGTCCGCTGTAAAAGCCGAGGCTCAGACGTGTTTCACGAGTGAAACCAGTGTTTGATTGTCACAAGAATAGTGTTGTGTTGGGGCAAGCCAATGCCGCTGTCAGCACTCAGCTCACTGTCCATCCCCAAAGGCAGCGAGCACTCAAACTGACAGGATTGGAAACCACACCATCAAACACACATTCATGTGCTGTAAGTAACGTTAACGGTGCTCCTGAACATTCAGCGCACATCAAGATTCCCGGCCGGCCGGGACAGGGCGACACAGGCAAGTTTCCTTACTCCACACACACGCCTCTGTTTACACAGCAGTAAGCAGGAACCCGGCTGTTAGTCGATTGGAGGATCGCTTTCCGGGGGGTAATAATCCCTCGAAAAAATAAAAACGTTGTCATTCAATCCACGACCTTGTGTGGGGACGCAGCCGTGTGCAATTGGCTGCTGCCTTTTGCCCACGAAACACACAGTCGCTCCACTTTACAGTATATTCTGCGAAGCGCTTTGAGACGGCTCAACAACGTGATAAGGCGCTGTGTCAAATGCAAGAATTATTATTGTTATCATTGTTTATTTTCTGGGTCTCACTCTTGGGTCTCTCCATCCACCTGTGGCTATCTATCCTTGCCCACCCCTCGCTATCATTTACTCAGTCACTCCGCTAGGGGGCACTTCACTCCAACACAAGAGCTTGTGATTGAAATCAATTCGTCCTCTTTACATTCACATCACCACTGAAACAGCAATAAGGCGATTGATTCCTTTCTGATTAAACATTTGGCCGACGGGCATCGGTTTTTTAGTCCCTTCCATCTCTGTCACATAATGAATGAAGTTCTTGCATATTTTTTCCGCAGTTGATTTTAGGGTTAAAATGATTCCAAGTAAAGGGGGAGGGGTGGGGGGGGAGGTAAGGGTGGAAAATATGTGAGATTTTACGAGAATGGGGGAAAAATGGGGGGTGGGGAGGTAATGGGGGGGAAAAGAGGCTGCTTTTGGTGGCTGTGGTGCACTAGTCGAGGAGCGATTAATTCAATCACTCAATAAAATTAGCATTTTTTTTTATCCATTCATTGAAATTCTGCTCCAGCGCCCACCAGCCTTGAGGTGACCAGAACAATGACTCTTACAGATTGTTTATATATAAATAAATAATAAATAAATATATATATACCCAATGCCAAGCTACAACAAGATGCCAATGATATATATGTATATATATATATGCATTATATATGAATCATTAATTATATAATACAATTAATATATATAATACATTTTCTAGAATCTAGTGTTTGCTGCCAAAGTGTGAAACGTTAAGGTATAATTTCAGAGTTTGTCGATTAGGTGATATTTTTACACAAATAAAATTATATAAATTAAGGTATATAAGAAAACAGAGAGAGAGAGAAATCTTATAAAGTCATCAGCATCTGGGCAATAACTTCTGATAGGAAAGGTGGGAAGCAGAGAGTGAGAGAGAGGGAATAGAAATTGAAATGAAATTAAATGATTTTTTTCTTGGATTGTAATGTTACACGTTTTCGCGGATAAGAAAAAATGTGTTGATTATTGTGGCTAAATATGTAATGAGCGCTGGTACATAGTTTACAAGCAGACAGAGAGCCAGACAGACACAGAGAGACAGAGACACACACACACAGAGGGACAGACACACACACAGAGGGACAGACACACAGAGAGAGAGACTGAGACGCACACAGAGAGAGACTGAGACACACACAGAGAGAGACTGAGACACACACAGAGAGAGCCAGACAGACACAGAGAGAGACAGAGACACACACAGAGAGGGTCAGAGACACACAGAGAGAGGGACAGAGACACAGAGAGAGAGAGAGAGAGAGACACACACACAGAGGGACAGACACACACACAGAGAGGGACAGACACACACACACAGAGACTGAGACACACACAGAGAGGGAGAGAGACACACACAGAGAGGGAGAGAGACACACACAGAGAGAGACAGAGACACACACACACAGAGGGACAGAGACACACACACAGAGAGACTGAGACACACACAGAGAGAGACTGAGACATACAGAGAGAGACTGAGACACACACACAGACTGAGACACACACACACACAGAGACTGAGACACACACAGAGAGGGACAGAGACACACACAGAGAGGGACAGGCACCCACAGAGAGAGACTGAGACACACACACAGAGAGCCAGACAGACACAGAGAGAGACAGAGACACACACAGAAAGACTGACTAACACAGAGAGACAGAGACACACACAGAAAGACTGACTAACACAGAGAGACAGAGACACACACAGAGAGACTGACTGACACAGAGAGACTGACTGACACAGAGAGACAGAGACACACAGAGAGACTGACTGACACAGAGAGAGACAGACACACACAGAGAGAGAGACTGACTGACACAGAGAGACTGACTGACACAGAGAGGCAGAGACACACAGAGAGACTGACTGACACAGAGAGAGACAGACACACACACACACAGAGACTGACTGACACAGAGACACACAGAGAGACAGACACACACACACACAGAGTGACTGAGGTGCTGTGTATATGGAGATGTTTATATTGAGGCGATGTGTTGTTTTGTGGGGAGAGGATCAGACAAATAGGAGTTGGTGGAACATTACTGATCAAATCCCTGCATCGTTGGGGCTGTGAGTGGCAGATTCTTTATGGGGTGGGGGTGTGGGGGGTGGGGGGTGGAGAGAGATAGACACACAGACACACACACACACACACACAGATTCTCACTCCGCCCTCGGGAGCCGTGAAGGCAGTGTTCAGCTCCTCTATAGCTTCGGTTTGCACAGCACTATAGTAGAGAGAGAGCACCAGAGGTACATGTTCTCTCCCACACTTGTTGCCTGAGGAGATGCGGTGGAGAGGCGCCTCCGGTACCCACTGCTCCCCCTCCGAAAGGATGATGTAGCAGTAAAGAAAAATCACATTTCAAAATATCTCTGTGTGTGTGTATATATATATATATATATATAACGTGTTTTAAGATAAAATCTGCTCAACGTCAGACCCGCATCTTCTCACTGAACTCTCTGCTGTTTATCACCAAGAACTTTCCGGATCATTCAGTCCCAGACTTTATTGGGAAAAAAAGGGCTCTGAGGATTTTCCCCACTGGCGGCGGACACACACTTTTAGGAGCGAAGGGGAAAGAGCAGCGACTGACAGACTGCGGCTGTGAGGAAGGTGATGGTGGTGATGATGATGATGATTTGGTGGTGATGGTGTTTAGGGAAACGAGAAGGGAACTCGATTGAGAAAGTAGAGAGAGGGAGAGAGAGAGAGGGGGAGAGAGGGAGAGAAAGGGGGGAGAGAGAGGGAGAGAGAGGGAGAGGGGGAGGAGAGGGGGAGAGGGGGAGAGAGGGAGAAGGAGAGATGTGAATGAAATTGGATCGTGTTAATGGATGTTTATTTCTGAGGGGAGGGAGTGAGAGAGGGGGAGAAAAATATATCTACTGCGACCAATCTGATGTGATGTGATGTGATGTGATCGCTTGGGGTGGGGGGAGGAGAGCGGGACAGGTCGGCTGCTAATGTGTAGACTTTCAGGAGACGAGACCAGAAACAGGACCAGTGTTAAGTCAACTGCCATTTTGTAGATGTTCCTGGTCTTCATTTGGTGAGTGAAGAAGTGAAGTGAGCAGCTGGGGAACAGGCAAGTGGGGGAGGAAGGGTCGGGGAGGAGGGGGTGGGGGGGTAAATGAGAGCGGTTGACCACATTGTCCGCTGAGGTGTAGAGAGAGAGAGAGGGTTGGGGTTGGGTGGGGGGTGAGGGTTCCTCTGTGTGTGTGTTGACTGTTGAGTGAGTGAGTGAGTGAGTGGCCCAGGGCAAGGTGTTGGGAGCCCAGTCTCTCCAACCTCATCCAGAGCTCATCCCAACCTCCCTCACCCAACTTTAGCGACTTGGGTTGGAAAAGGAGGGAAGGAAGGGAGGGGAAGTGCGGGAAAGTGCGGGAAACGGTCCAAACCAGAGAGAGAGCGAGAGAGAGGGGGGGAAAAAAAAGGGGCCAAAAAAAAAATTACCTCCAAAACTCCGCATGATAAGCTCGGTGTGCGTGTCTTCTTACCGGGGACGTAAGTCAGCCAACAAACAACCACCGTCCAAATCATGTCTGAGGGAAGAGATGGTCAAGGGAGACGAGAACAACGACAGGATCACCATCAATGTGGGAGGAACGAGACATGAGACCTACAAGAGCACCCTCAGGACCTTGCCCGGGACCAGGCTGGCCTGGATAGCCGACCCGGATTCCCGGAGCATCTTGGATTACGATGCCGAGAGCGACCAGTTCTTCTTTGACCGACACCCGGGCATATTCGCTTACGTCCTCAACTACTACCGCACCGGGAAGCTCCATTGCCCCGCCGATGTGTGTGGACCTCTGTTCGAGGAAGAGTTGGCCTTTTGGGGCATCGACGAGACCGACGTGGAGCCCTGCTGTTGGATGAGTTACCGGCAGCACCGAGAGGCCGAGGAGGCGCTCGATATCTTCGAGGCGGTGGACCTCAGCCCTGGCACCGACCGGGACGAGGACCCCGACACGGAGCGTGCGTTGGCGGCTGAGCTGTGCGGGCGGCACCGGTCCGAGCTGGGCGGCTGCTGGAGGCTGTACCAGCCCAGGATGTGGGCGCTCTTCGAAGATCCCTATTCTTCCAAGTCAGCAAGGGTGAGTGTGAGCGAGTTGACCAGCTGGACACACACCAGGCACACTCACTCACACACTCACAGGCTCTCACACACATACTCACACTCACAGGCTCTCACACACATACTCACACTCACAGGCTCTCACACACACACTCACAGGCTCTCACACTCACACACACTCACAGGCTCTCACACACACACTCACAGGCTCTCACATACACTCACAGGCTCTCACACTCACACACACACACTCATAGGCTCACACTCATTCACACACACTCACAGGCTCTCACACTCACAGGCTCTCACACACACACACTCATATAAAATCACTGGGACCATTTCACAATCATCCTACACACACACTCACACACACTCAGAGGCACCCGACACACATACTCTCACACACTCACATTTACACCCTCACACACACTCAGAGACACACACATTCACACACTCTCTCTCACACACATGCAAACACAGACACATATAAACACCAACGCACTCTCACAGACATCGCATCATATGGCCCTTTACTCTGTTCTTTCTGCTCACATTTATGTATAAAAACATATGTTTTTAAAAAAGACAAATCCAATTTATTTTCATTTTGTTAAAAAAAACACTTAGATTTAAACTCTTGGGGTGTGAGTAAGTGCGCAATAACTGGCTTGTGTCAATTGCAATACAATGGGAATCTACATTCTTTTGCACCTGTTATTATTATTATAGTTTAGTTTAAAAGCCATTTACAGTTGGAATGAGGTGAACAGTGTGTGTGTGTTGGGAAAGACTCGAGGAGGTAGAGGCAGAGAGAGACGGAGAGAGAGAGAGATGTCGCTCTACAAACCGCTTGTTGCACCATCATTCTCTCTCTCTGACTTTCCGCAGCTCCACAGTGAATATTGCGGATTTTATTACACTAAAATGTAAGGAACCAACACAAATAAAAACGCACACACACACACGAGCAATATACAGAGAGAGAAAGGGAGTGAGAGAGGGGCATCTGATGTGGTGTCTTATTATGTCTTCGAGTCGTGAATTGAATGTAATAATAATAATAATCGTCACATTTGATACAGTGCCTTATCACGTCGTCGAGACGTCGCAAAGCGCTTCACAAAACATACTGTAAAGTGCAGTGACTGTGTATTTTGTGGGGAAAATGCGGCAGCCAATTGCGCACAGCAACGTCCCCACAAACAGTCGTGGATTGAAGTGACCAAATTATTACCATTAATTTTTTTGACAGGATCATTACCCCCGGGAAGCGATCCATCAATTGACTAACAAGTGTGTTCTTACTTACTACTAGGTAAACAGAGACGTGTTTATATATTTAAAGTGTATATTTTAGGGGCAAAATACGGCTAAATGATTAAATTGTCATCTACCTAATGAGTGTTTTCAAAACCACTTATTTGTGCGAATTATGTTGGTGAGAGAAAGGGATGTGTGGGGGAGAGGAGAAAGGGGGTGTGTTTGTGCGTAAGGGGGAGAGTGAGAGAAAAAGAGGGAGTGAGACGAGCTGTTGTGAATGGCTGACGTGTTTGCTTATTTACACAAACAGTCACTACACTTGATACTTGATTGGTGTTTTAGTGCCGGGGGGGGGTGGCGGAGGGGGAGGGGGGGGGAGCTCTTTTATTTCCAGTCCCACAGGAGACCATTTGAATTGTTTGATGTTTGTGAAGGCAGGTGGCATTTTGAGGGACTGAAAGGGTTATGGAAAATGACGCGTTTGCGATGAGGAGACAGTTGTTTTTTCACCTGTTGCGATGAATGAATGTGATGGGAAGTTGGCTGTACAGTCCGTTCAGTGACAATGACAGGCTGTGCGATGGAGCCCTTCAGCAATCGGGCAGCTCAAGGCTGCTCCGCGGTACTCCTCACCCTGCGCACGGTAAACAAATGATTTAACCCTTTCTGGAGCCGCAGGCAGTGAGGTGCTCTGGGACGCTACCCTGCGTGAGAGGCGCTATATAAGTGCAAGTTGTTGTTGTTGTTGTTGTTTCTCAGTTAACTCTCACTCGCTCTCACAGTCATGTTGTTCACTGGCTCCCGTTTCTGATGACACTGGGAAAGACCTCCTCATAGACCGCACTTGACTAGAGAATTTGCTTGAAGGAGCACTCGCACACATTGAACGGAGCCCACTGTGGGACGTTTCACTGGGCAGTGGCCTTAAATCTATCTCTGCATTCCAGTGATGCAAAAGGAACGAATGAGCTGGACACAGAGATGGGCTTTGGTTGACTCGAGCTGTTCGGGTAAACTTTAAAGATCCCACCACAGTATTGGAAAAGCAAAGGATGTTTATTCCAGCAGTTCTACAGATTAATTGGCTGATTGTAGGACATTGCTGTGCGCAAAAATGGATTCTGCGATTGCCCACAAAACGCACAGTCACTACACAGGCAAGGTAGAGCACTCTGAAGTGGTTTTGACTCTGGGTCAAAACAAAAAAGGTTGTTAGAGAGCTTTGAAGATGAAGGATTTTCTCTCTCTCCCTCTCTCTGTGGACGTCACGCTCTCTCAGTTTTACTCTCAATGAAAAACGAAGACGGTTTGTACTGGAGTCCGTTCCTTTCGTTCCCTCTCTAACACACTCATGTTTTTTCCCTCTCCCACCCCCCCCCCCCATCCCCCTCCCCACCCCGGTTCCAGTTCATCGCCTTCGCCTCGCTCTTCTTCATCCTGGTCTCCATCACCACGTTCTGCCTGGAGACCCACGAAGCCTTCAACCACATCATTAACCTGACGGAGTACACGAGCGTGGGCAACACCACGCAGGCGGTGAGCGTGGAGGAGATGGAGACGGAGCCAGCCCTGATGTATGTGGAGGGGGTGTGCGTGCTGTGGTTCACGCTGGAGTTCCTGGTCCGGATCTTCTGCTGCCCGGACAAGCTGGTCTTTGTCAAGAACCTGCTCAACGTCATTGACTTTGTGGCCATCTTGCCCTTCTACCTGGAGCTGGCCCTCAGAGGGTTGTCCTCCAAAGCAGCGAGGGATGTGCTGGGGTTCCTCAGGGTCGTCCGTTTTGTCCGTATCCTCAGGATCTTCAAGCTGACACGCCACTTTGTGGGGCTGCGCGTGTTGGGACACACTCTGAGGGCCAGCACCAACGAGTTCCTCCTCCTCATCATCTTCCTGGCTCTGGGGGTCCTCATCTTTGCCACCATGATCTACTACGCCGAGCGGATCGGCGAGAACTCTCACGAGCTGAAGCCCAGCGAGAAGAACCACTTCAAGAACATCCCCATCGGCTTCTGGTGGGCGGTGGTCACCATGACGACCCTGGGCTATGGGGACATGTACCCAAGACCTGGTCGGGCATGTTGGTGGGTGCCCTGTGTGCCCTGGCAGGGGTCCTGACCATCGCCATGCCCGTGCCAGTTATCGTCAATAACTTTGGGATGTATTACTCGCTGGCAATGGCCAAGCAGAAGATTCCCAAGAAGCGGAGGAAGCACATTCCATACGGCACTCAGCCCCCTCCCCCTGCCCCGGGATACTGCAAGTCTCCCTCCGGCTCGGCTCGTAACAGCACCCACAGCGACACCTGCCCCCCAGCCCCCGAGGAGGGGCTCGAGAGGAAGAGCTCAGGTAAGACTCCCCCATCCTATTGCCCCCCCCACTCTCTGTTGTGTGACCCCACTTCATCACTTGACCCCTAACCTCTTCACGCTGCCCTTGATAACTCCCCTCCCTCTTGTCACTCATTCACTCACTCGGTCACTCACTCAGTCACTCTCACACACTCACTCACACCCACACATTCACTCACTCACACACACACACACTCACTCACTCACACACTCACTCACACACACTCACTCACTCACTCACTCACATAGACACATTCACACACTCACTCACACACACACTCACACACTCACACACACTCACTCACTCACATACACACATTCACACACACACTCACTCACACACACCCTCGCTCCTGTCCCCAAACCCTTGCACGTGTTTATTTATTTGGAAAATCCGGAGAGTATGTAATGCGCTGTGGTCTATATACTCTGAGGTTTCTGAGCAGATATTCTGTCCGTCCGTTCCCCCAAAGACTTGAAGCAGAATGGTGAGGCGGGGGCCGTGGGCTGTGAGGAGGAGAGTGCAGGACTGAACCCATCTGTTAGCCCTGACCAGAGTGACCTCGTCAGGGCCTCTTGCTGCAGGGACAAGGGCAAGAAAGGCGGAGCCTGCTTCTCGCTCACCCCGGGAGATTTCACCTGTGGGGCGGATGGTGGGGTGAGGAAAGGTACTAGACTTTCTCCATAGTGACCTAGAGCGAGACGTGCTGTGATTGGAGTCTGATTCGTAACTGATGCTTTTGTACAAATGGCAATTGTATATTGCATCCGCAGCCCACACATGCATATAGAGGACACACACACGCGCAGCATACACACGCCCACAGCGGACACACACACACAAGGCACACAGTGGACACACACACGCAGCGCACACAGCGGAGACATACACGCACACAGCACACACTTATTTTAAGATGGTGCGAAATTGTGGAAAATTCTTAAATACCAATTTGAAGAATTTTCTATAGTTCTGGATGATCTTCCATCTTAAAACCACATGATTGTTCAGGTTAGCATGGGATGGTTAACCGTGACCGGGGAGCGAGGACCCACAGTGCAGACCCTGCTTTCGTTGGCTAGAAACAACCTGTTTGTATAAAGGAGGCAAACAAACCACAACAAACATTAAACATGTCCCGTGCGGAGGTGTCTTTGTGTCTGTGTGTGTGTGTATGTGTCTGTCTCTTTCTCTGTCTGTCTGTCTTGTCTATCTGTGTCTGCGTGTCTGCCTGTCTGTCTTGTCTGTCTGTCTGTCTGTCTGTCTGAGTGAGGCCACACTGAGTGTATAGCCTGTGTGTATTCAAGCCAGGTGATGACAGGTAATGACATGCATCTTCTTCCCAATGGCTGCGATGTTCTTGTTTGATAATCACGCATGTGCATTTTCCTTCATGCTAAAGGGCCCGGAAAATCGAGAAGCTTAACCAACATAGCTGGTAACGTGGCTGGTAACTGTGTGAGGCTGACATCCCTAACATCACGCTACAGCTCCCCCTGGCCACTCCGTCACTCTCGCTCACCTGTACCATCCATCCTGTAAGCGGAGCAATCTCAAAGGGGCGGAAGCTGTTTTTTGTTGAGCCTTGACAGTCGATGGTGTCGCTGGGGGCAATGTGCTGGAATGTGCAACATGTTGTATATTGTTTAGTCGGCTGAGAATTCCTCTCCAGGCTCTCTGACCCGGGTGCTTTCAGTGAGAGGAGAGCATACACTGCCCCCTGTTCTGTCTGCTGTCTCAGTTACTCAAAACTGTTGAACCTTTGCTCGTTGCCCTGTCGCTACCTGTTAATGTTGGGTGAGCAGCTCTCCCAGGCATCAGTCAGTAAATCAATGGCGTTGCTTGGGTTGGAAATGCCACTGCCCACTACTGATGTGTTAATTATCACATCACAGGACATTCCACCCTGTTGTCGTTTGTTGTCTGCCCACCAGCGGATGAATTGGCTTTCAATAGGGAGCTCGGTGGATATTTAAGAGAGGAATAATGTGCAGGCGGATGGAGTGTGGGTGGGGAGACAGGCTAACGGGGATGATTTTTTTTTGGCCAGCTGGTGTCCGCACACGCAGAAACCCATCACCGTTGCTTAAGAGTCTTCAAACCAAACTGAGAATTCCCCACATCCCACCTACACATGGCAATCCCAGAGATAGATTGTTGGAATGGAATGCGCTCTCTCTCTCTCTCCCTCCCTCTCTCTCCCTGGAGGGACCCATCCTGCTTACCTAATTCCGGAGAGTAATAGGCGCAGGTTGGCAAGAGCCAAGGCTTGGGGAACCCCAGAGGATGAGTTGGGGTAATTGCAGGTGTCTAACCAGTTAACAGGGCTGAAAGGAATGCTCTTTCACAGTACAGCACAGAAACAAATGGCCAAATAGCCTCCTTCTGTGCTATATATTTCTGTTGATCCATTGCCAACACCTTGTACTTCAGGTCTGTCTAAGAACGGCTGAAAAACAGCTTCAAAATTGCGGCTAAATTTAAGATGTCTCCCCAATTCTCTCTGCGCCATTTTAAATGTTGGAGCCGAGGTCTTAAGGCTAAGATAGAGAAAACTGTTAGTTTTGATTCATGGGAAAGCATTAGTTGAAATTCCACATTCTCCATAATTCATATTTCAAAATGACATTTCCACATTCTCACAACCAGTCAAGTCATCAAACAGCTCCACAACCTCTGGTGACTTGTGTTCCGAGACGAATAAAAGCCTCTCATTGTTTGAAATCCATTGTAAGCTGTATTTTGTGTTGAACCATTTCATCTGTGGTATAAACAGTGGGAATTGTGGACAGTTAGGGGTGAGAAGGGCAACTAACATGGTGCAAGATTGGCCTGGCCCAAACCCCTACTTTAAGTGTCCTTCATCTATATGCCCACTCACTTGGCCACACTGCACATATCACTTCAACCCATGTCCCATCGCTCCTCGCTTGCTCTCTGCACGTTGCCTCCCAACATAACCTTTGTGGAAACCTCGAGGCTTGTTGATTGCAGTTGGTTTCTCTGTGTGTGTGTGTGTGCACATGTCCATGTGTGCGCATGGGCGCGTGTGTCTGCACATGTGTTTGTGCCGGTGTGTGTGTACGCGCGTGTCAATGTGTGTGTTTGCGTGCACTGGTCTGTTTTTTTTTGTTTCTATTATATTCTTTACATGCAGAGAGCTGCAAAGATGTCCTCGCTACTAATTACTCCCCAGCTGAGGTGGTAACTCTGTCGTAATGGTGACGGTCGGCCGAGGGATGCGATCTCTGCTCCCCGGGATCAATCCTGCGGAGAGAAGCCAAGGGGACCAAGACTTCACTCGGTGGTGATGGGGTTCTGGGGGTGGGGGGGGGGGGGGGGGGGGGCGCGAGAGAGATAGAAGTGGGGTAACGACATGACCGTCATAATCTCTTGAATAATCCGTGCTCATAACCTCGTAAATTTATTGTAACAAATATCTATCTGGGGTATTAAACAGTGACTGCATGGCTGTTATGTAAAATATGTATCATGTAGAAAATATATATAATATATATAATATAGTATATATACAAATCTCTCTCTATATATGGACTTCAGAGTGATTAATATCTAGAGAATATTGTGCAAATAAATACTCTTGACTCCAGCAATATCAATTTGGATTCTCATTGTACTGTTGTCCAATGTTTTATACTAATACTCGGGTGTTTCCAGTGTGGCTAGTCTAATCTCGGTTTAGTGAGTGAGTCTTCCATCCATCAGTGTATCTTTGTGAAGACCACAGACATCAATCAGAGATGTGCCTCGCTCAGTGACGAGTTCAGTGGGTGTACCCCAAGTTTTCTGTGCTGGGGGTTGAGTTTAGACGGTGGGTGTCGAGGGGGAAGGTGATAAGAATCTGCTTCATTTGGTTGAAATGAATTTGCTCTGTTTACAAACTGTTGTGTCTACACATGAAATCCTGTGCAAAACTGTGAGCTTCTGAGATTGATGGTTTGGGAGGCTGAGGGTGTGAGGGCATTGTTTAGGGGTGGGGGCTGGGCTGGGCGAGGGTGGGGGCTGGTGGGCGGGGTGGGGCTGGGCGGGGGGGTGGGGCTGGGCGAGGGTGGGGGCTGGGCTGGGCGAGGGTGGGGGGCTGGGCGAGGGTGGGGGCTGGGCGAGGGTGGGGGCTGGGCGAGGGTGGGGGCTGGGCGGGGGTTGGGGAGGGCTGGAGGCTTTACTGTTCTTTCTAATTCCGTGCTGTGTTCTGTCTGTCCTCTGGCAATGCCACTTGCAGTCTGATTCCGTATCTGTACGTCATTGAGTGTCAACTAACTGGGCTGGAAATAAAGGATTCTTCTTTTTCAATCGCTGTCGCTATTTTCTTCCTTTGTATCTTTTCTTTGCCGTTAGAAGGAATTAGGGACAGCAGGAGGCCATTCGGCCCTTTGGGGGAATTCCACCATTTTATTAGACACTTTCATCTCACTTTGACTCTATTTCCTCCTTTAATCCCTTTACTGACCAAATCTCTCCCTTTTTGCACATTTCATTCGGTTTCTGTATATATTATTATTAATAATAATCCTTGCATTTGGTACAGCGCCTTATCATGTCTTCAAGTCGTCTCAAAGAGTTTCACAGAATCTATTGTAGCGTGACTTGACTATATCTTGTGGGAAATACGGGGCAGCCAATTGCGCACAGCAGCGTCCCACAAACAGTTGTCGATTGAGTGACCGAATTATTCACTGTTTATTGATTTAATTATTTTGAAGGAACTGTTACCCCCGGGAAAAGCGATCCGCCAATCGACTAGCAACCAGGTTTCTACTTGCGAGGTAAACAGAGGCGTGTGTGTGGAGTAAGGAAGCTTGTCCAGAGTTTCGCTCTGCACGGAAATTGAACCCAGGTCCTCCCGCAAGGTGAGTGCTCTAACCGCTGAGCTACAGGACTCCAGGGAGCATGAGCCCACCTTCTCACCACCCTCTGTGTGAAGAACGAGCATCTTGTATTAGTTACTATTCCAAAGAAGGCATTGAGTTTTTCTCCCGCCTATCCTCTCTCCCCAGCCACAAGCTCTGATTAACGACTTGCTCAGAGCTCATGAGTGTCTCGTGATTCTGGTGTAAATCAGCCGCTGGCTTTTCCTGCAATAACAACACTCATTTCATTTCTAATTATCTGTGTTTTGCGATGTGCTTCATGACATTTCTTTTGTGCGAAAGCGACTGTGGATGAGGTATGTCTTGTTTTAATCTTCGGTGATTCACAAAGCTCGACAATTGAACCAGGTTTTGGAAAGAATTCTTCGCCGTAAACCTCAAATGTTTTGATACGATGATGATTTCAGGAGACGCCAAACATCAATTAATTAGCATTCTTACTATTGTAAAGTAAGGGGAAAGATTAATTCATATTTAAGAGTAACCTCACACCAGCCACAGGCTATTGGGGCACATCTGCGTCTCAGACATTCTCTCTCCCTCTCTCTCTCTCTCGCTGTAATTGAGGTGAATGAGTGAGAGCCTGAGAGCAGACAACCTGAGCTCACTCGCTCGGACGCAGCTATGGTCTGAATACTGACAACACCAGGAGTACAGCAGCAAGGTTTGATGAGACGAGATGATGAGACGAGAGAGAGGTCACGGTTGGGAGCACGGCACTTGTGAATTGGAATCCTGTAGGAGGGACAAGGGACAGACAGAGGAGGTTCGATAGGCCTGATGTCTGACGAATGAAATAACAAGTTAATAATAATAATAATATTCCTGGCATTTGATACAGCGCCTTATCACGTCTTTGAGACATCTCAAAACGCTTCACAGGATACATTGCAAAGTGAATTGACTGTGTTTTGCATTTTAATAGTGTTCAACCCTCTGACCCAGAAGCCGCAGGGCGAGTGACAGAGTCAAACTAAGAGTTGTGATGTGCATTGATTTCAGGGAAGTGTGCATACAAGTGCCAAGTTTCATTACGCCACACTCCTGTTTACCTGACCGTAAGTAGGAACCCGCTTGTTAGACAATTGGTGGATCGCTTTCTGGAGGTAATAATTCCCTGCACTCCCCATCCAAAAAATTATTTGGTCACTCAATCCACGACTGTTTGTGGGACGTGGCTGTGCGCAGTTGGCTGCCCCGTTTCAGCCACAAAGTACAGTCAATTCACTTTACAGTATATTCTGTGAATCTCATTGAGACGTCTCAACGACGTGATAAGGAGCTGAATCAAATGCAAATATTATTATTCATGGCGTGATTTGGATCTTGATGGGAACAGAAGAGAAATGAAACAAAGACTATAATAGTCTTGATGAAGTGGAGTAAGACAGGAAAGGTTGTGGTAGGTAGAGAGAGGGAGATGGGGCTCAGAGGAGAGAGAGAGACACACGATGAAAGAACAGTCTGGCTGGTGAAAACTAAATTGACACCAAAATGTCCAGATTTCTTTAATTTGGGTAGCAGGAAGCAATGACAGTTCCAGTTGATGGATCAGAAATTGAGTCAGTCGTTGCTGGTTCCAATTATTCTGCTCATTCGTCCTCGCAGTAATGTTGATTCTCTTCCAGTGACAAATATCCCAGCTCACAGGCGAGCGGCAAACAGCAGGAGAACTGGGAGTGTTCAGCCGATCAAAGCAAATGGACGCCTTCCTGCTCTGATGCTCCACATTACATTATCAATTCCTTACTGCGCGCACACACGCCTCTGTTTACCAGCAGTCAGGAGGAACTCGGTTGTTGGTCTATTGGCGGATCGCTTTTCGGGGGTAATAAACTCTTTAAAGAAAAAATCAAAAAATGTTTGGTTAAATAAGAATTTGGTCTCTCAATCCACGACTGTTTGTGAGTGGCTGCTGTGTGCAATTGGCTGCTGGGTTTTGCCCATAAAATTCACTTTACAGTGTATCTCTTGAAGCGCTTTGAGACGTTTCAATGACGTGATCAGGTGCTGTATCAACTGCCAGGATTATGATCGGACACACACACAGGAGCTCCGGCTCCCAGCAGGAATGTCAGCAACTGGAGTGACCCATCCCGTGTAGCCCCAGTCACCGCACCAACAACCGCTGAGCCGACGGGGAGGCTGTGTGAGAAGATAAGGCGGCTCTCGTATAGTCGGTGCACAGTGAAGAGGTATTGCCAGCTCGTCCCGAACAAGATAAGAGACAGTGACATGGAGAACCGATCCAGCAATGGTCAGTGTTAATCTCACAAAGGTGTCTTTCAACCCGCTACAGCTTCCCCCTCTCCTCCCCTCCACAGAGCCTCTTCCCCACCCCTTTCCCCACTCCGATTCGTTGGGTAGCACATGTACTGTTATGTTGACCCCAGTGTATGATTAATATGTCCACAATAATAATAATAATCCTTGCATTTGATACCGAGCCTTATCACGTCTTCGAGACGTCTCGAAGCGCTTCACAGAATACACTGTAAAGTGAAGTGATTGTGTATTTTGCGGGTGAAACAGGCAGTGTCCCACCAACAGCCGTGGATTGAGTGACCACATACTATTTTGATAAGGGATTAGGAAGCAGCTGAAAGTTGCCCTAATACATCTCTTGTAGAGGAAATATCCGGGGATGGTTTATTGATCGATCGGCTGATCAATTGATCAATTGATTGATTTCCAGCTCCGTCTCACCCCCAGACCATAAATAAACAGTGAGTATCTTGACTGTAGCCATATCACATAATCTCAATGAATCAGACGCCGCTTGTGGGAAGAGGATTTGCCTGTGGCGACTGGAGGGGATTCGCAATCCCTCTCAAGAGGGAAAAGCTTCTCAGGAGAGGGTTTCAGTTCAAACAGATTAAATCAAATGCATTGATCCACAGCACAAAGTGACCTTCACTCACTCTCACTGCAGATGAGAAAACACTGTATATTTGAAGTTTCCTTCTAGGATAGTGTTTTGTGATAACTCCCTCCTTGGGGTATTGTGTCAAGTCTTCTCTAGGGCACTTTAACAACAATAATAATTGGGGCTGGAGACCAGCTCTCCTCTGCTTCACACACAAAACCAGGTCATTTTTCACAATGTAAACTTTAGTTTAAGTTGTGTAGGTAAAAAAAAGGGGGAGGAAATAGCTTGGATTAATACATAACTGTGCCTTTCATGTTGGGGGTAAATTGACAATCCCCCAGATAAAATGGTGGTTCACTTAACCGCTGTGTGAGTGCGGTCTTGCTTACAAGTACTCAGTCACTACACTTGAATACAGTTCCCTGCAAGAGGTTTTCAGTATTAGACATGAGCACGATAGCGTGTGCCTGAGCCAAGCGCTCTGTGTGTGGAGATCGCTGGCCAGGGAAGCTCGAAGAACGATC